CAAAGCCATATGGGACCCATATAGTCTGCCCTCTTTTTCCCCACATGGGGCCCACCTAGGCATGCTGGCTTTTTCTTGACCAACAAAACATGTCCAGTTCTTCAAACAAGCCTTCAAGCTGAAGGTAGAAGCTGATTGGCTGCAGCCTCTCTGCACTGACACCTGATTGGTAGCTGATTCTACAGCGTCTCTGAAACCATGACTCTCCTCCACTGAGTCCAGACCAGATTCACTCAGCCGCTGCTGGCTGGAGTTTGGGTTGGAATAGGATCTGCAGAGTTCTGTAAACCCAAATAGAATTTTCTCTGTTGTTGATCAGGGTTCATTGTTCTGATGTCTTTGCTGTTCTGTTCTTTATTCTTCTAGTTTAAATGTAGTTCTGAGGTCCGGGGTCCATAAAAAAATCACTGTTGATGTTTTCTTTCATCCTTTTATGACAGAAATATTTCTCTACATGATAATCAAAACTTTTCTGGGCTCCAATATTTATTTATTTATTATTTTTTTTTGCTTTAATATTTGTATTATTATCTTTCGATGGTTTTCATTTAAATCATGAGAGTGAAGTGAACTGATATTTTTCTGTTTTCCATATTGTGATCCACATATATATGCTGAATTCACCATCCAATTAGATCTCATGCTATGTTTCTTTTGAATTCCTTAGACAGATGAGAAAAATAAGTATTTGCTGTTGTGTATCTGACTCAGTAAAATTACTTAACTACACAGAAATTTGCAAAGATTCTCTTTCTTAAAATAAATTGAGTTTTGTCCTGCAATGGATTGGCGACCTCTCCAGGATGTACCCCGCCTCTCACCCGTTGACACCAGGAGATAAGCACCAGGGGCCTCTTGCATAAAAGAGTGCACAGTTTTCACACTAAAACTGGGCATACAGACAAAAAAGTGTGGCACACAGACCAATGCGTTACATCTTTATGAGACAAAAAACAGAGGAAAAGTTTACCTTTGAGGGAGGTTGTAGGGTTTAGGTAACCTACCATACCCTAATTCTGAGATCAAAATCTGAATTTTGAGTTTAATTTCAAAATTCTGAGTTAATAATCAAAATTCTGAAATTAAGGTCGAAATTCTGAGATCAAAATTAGAATTCTGAAACTAAAATCAGAATTTTGAGTTTAAGGTCTAAATTCTGAGTTTCTGAATTCTGAGATTGAAATCAGGTCTTTGATATTAAAGTCAACAGTTTGAGGATGAAAAAAAATAATTAAAATCTGGGTTTAAAGTACGAACTTTGAGTTAAAATCATCAGAATTCTGAGATTAAACTTTTATTTATTTTTTCTCTCTCTAATGTCCCTACTCTTCCGCGTACGGCAGATTGAGCAGATATTGGTGAACTACATTTATCCGATCAGAGTGAATATTTACACGGCTTGTAAGAAATCCAAACATTCATCAGATAACATCCTGCTTGCCGTCGCATTTTTTAATTCAGCCTCATGATAAGCGATGTATAATTAATCGCGCCCATATAGGAAGTGGCCTATTTCTGTGATATAAGGGACCAAATGTTTTAAGATCCTGTCTTCCAGAGCCCGAGCTATATTGGTGAAAGAACAGATGGCCGTCCCTGTTGGTGCGGCTCTCCAAACTAATACACCCGGGCATATGGGCCTGCATCACAAGGTGTGGACGGGCACCATGCTGACAGGACAGGGCGGTCCATATCCGCCGGAAACGTTGCAGACTCGCATATTTTAGCTGCCCGGGTGGATGCAACGACAGAGATTAGGTCTCCTCTAAAGGTTGGGTGAGAGATTATCCTCATTCAGAGCCACCTTGGTTGAAAGGTGTGGAGATAATTTCAATGTCTCCCTGTCAGAGCCCACTTGAGCTCTCCTTCTGTCGACTCCACACATTCCTGGACCCGTCCCAACTGATAGGATTAGCAGACTTTAAAAAAAAGAAAGAAGAAAATCTCAGAGTGGATTAATTTCACACCTGGCAGGTCGATAACATCCACACCTGAGCTGGGATGACAGGAGTAGAGGACGAAAAGCACCTGAGCATCTAAATCCTTTGTGTTTCTGCAGGTATTTAACTGATACCCTCTACCGCCATCATGTGGCCAAACGGGAGAATAGTCCGCTGTTATTCTGCAGTTTTAAAATGCCAGATTAATCCAGATGAAATTACGAGAATAATACAACAAAAACAAAGAATAATGTCATAATAATATGACCATAAAGGCGTAATTTTAGCAGAATAAAGTCGTAGTAACAGACAGTTGCTTGTACAATAGCATCAAAGTCACTTAGAATAAAGTCATATTAAAAAAATAAAGTCAGATGAAAATAAAGGTATAATATTGACTTCGGTCTCAGAATATATTAACATTAATAATATGTGATACTAATACATTTATTCTCAGAATAAAGTCAAAATAATACAGGACTAAAGTAGTATTACAAGAACAAAGTCATATTTTGACTTTATTCTCATAATATCATGACTTTACTCTCATATGAATTGTTTGTATTTTTGTTTTTCTTAGCCTGGCATTAATATTCTATCGTAAGTCATTTCATCTTTATTTTTAGTTTCACATCTTCACTCTTAAATAAAATACCCAAGTGGACTAAATCAGAAAGAACTCCTGCTTTAAGGATGGACTAATAAATTTAACCTAAAATATTTAAATGGTTTGCATTTTATTGAACATTTTAAGTGTTTTTCAGCTTTAATTGAAACTTTATTGAAAAAAAAAATCAAATTTAGATTTTAGGAAAGGCACTAAAGATGATGGCTCCTAATTTATTGTGGTCTCTTTTAAGCTAATTTTAGTATTTATGTATGACATTTTATCTCCCTATGTTGGGTTTTAAATCGTTTTAAAATGCAAATTAACTAAAGCTATAAATATTATGTCATGTTCTGTTTTTGAACATAACTTTGGAGTTGAAATCACCCCAAAATCCAGATAAATTTCTAAATTTTCCACTTCTTAACCTTAAACTATCGAGCTGGAATGTGACAAAATGTGAAACACCTTTCAAAAACTAGACATCAAGACAGAAAACAAACAGTTTTCCAGTTTAAAGTTTTATTATTTGGAAAATTAAGTCTCAAAAATTCATACATTTCAATAACAAGTGCACAGAAATTCAAAGTGGATACATGTAATATATGGCATTAGGGTCTGTCAGAACATTTACACCAAGTCCAAATCAGCAGCAAGAAATCCACATCAGCAAAGATGACAGGTTCAAGTAAGACATTTCATTACAGCTCGCATTAGTCCTTTAAGTTAAAATCAAACATAATAATAAAAACACATGAGCAGGAAATGTCACATACCGAGGAAAATTATAACAACATCTGCTTAATGTGCACTAAACTTAAATAGATTCTAAAAATATCCAACAGGCATTATTCGTATATTTTTACAAAGCATTTAACACTGATGAATACAAAGACTGATGGCAACAGAAAAAAAACAACACTAGTTGTTTTTGAGGGTTTTAAAATAGCAACAAGGAGCACATTATCACAATTAACACAATAAAAGAAAAAGATTTGCAAAATATGGAGAATGAAGAGTGCCAAATTATAATAAACCGTGAAATAAATATTTAAATTTGTCACTAGTCTTAAAACTGGGCATAAACACAGAATTGTGTCTCAATTACATTGATTATAAATTATTTTAAATTAACTTAGTTTCACCTGTAGAACTCAGTGGGTGGGATTAGGTGAGACTCTGGCATCTGATTGGCTGCTTCAACCAGCCAGTTAAGACAACTTCCTGTAAGTTTGATTTGACTCTGAGTCAATATTTACACTGGAAATGCAGAAATAATTTCAATAAATTGTTGTTATTTATTTACTACAAGCTGTGGGTGAACAACTCCAGCATCTATATTTCTAGTTTGGGCTTAAATATCTCTAATAATTTCACCAAAGGTCTAACTGTGACGCTGCTACACATGTTAGCACCACTAACACCAGCTAGCGCTCTCTTTTAACTTATTTCAGACCAAATGAGAAGTAGAAAGGCTGGAGATGCTCATCCTGAAAGTGTTTAGTAAATAATTTATTAAAGTTATTTATTCACTTTCCACTGACAATATTGACCCAGAATGACAGTAAACCTTGAAGAAGTTGTCTTGAGCTCTTAGCCAATCAGACATCAGGGTTTCCACTAATCCCGCCCATTGAGTTTAATGAAATTTACAGTTTAAATTAAATCACGATCAGCAGAAGAACATGACATAATTATATATGGTTTTTAAAATAAAATCAATACTATTAATTGTGGCACATATAATCAATTCTATTTTTAACAAACTCCTGTTTTTATTTTCAATTTAAAAAAATGAAAAACATTTAATAATTATTTCCATTTATTATTAATAAAAATGGTAGTAGTATTAATTATATTGTAGTTAACAGCATTATTATTACTATCAATATTTTTATTAATATTGTCATTAACAGTAATATTAACTATTACTGTCATAGCAATAATAGTTATTGCTATAACAACAATTATTATTGCTGTTAGCAACAACAGTATTGTTAATATTTTTGCCATTACTCATTTCTGTTTTAGTGTTTTATTGATGTCTTTTGTACTTTCCATATTTTCAATGTTCACTGATTTTATCAGCACTTTGTCACAGTTTGTAATATTGTCATTAAAAATAATAACGTCAATAATAATTTAGTTGTTAGTAACAATAACAAAAATTTATTTATTCATTGTAATTTGGCACTCTTCAGTCTCCATATAAAAAAAAAAGCCACTTTGGCTAAAATATCTTATTTTTATTTTCCTGAAATAAACGACATGAATCCGTTTTCGCTGTGATTTCCTACGGTTGCAGGATCTAAACTCCACGCCGCTGCTCAAACACACGACTACTTCTGCCGATCCACTGAGCGTTTCGGTATCTTAAATAAGAATATATGTACAACATGAAGGCTGCAGTCTGTGGCATGTGAATGTCGCTGACTGAAAGTTAGCTGGCTCAGTTACAGTTCACAAACATCTGAAACTAACCCAAGGGACGAGCAACTGCTACCTAAAAATCTACCTCCTAGGCTCCCCGCCGACGCGTTTGGGGAGTAAAATAATTACACTACTTTACATCACCGCTTCAACGCCTCGTTTTCCGTCGCATCGTTTGGCGCATTTCACCGACAGAGGGGAACGTTAGCTGTTACTACGCTAGAGACAGGAGGAACGTTTCAAGGTGCATACAGGCTATTAGTGATGGAGTCGGTTTGCATGTGCGTGTGTGTGTTGGTTGGGTTTGGGGGGGAACATGCAGGACCTCTGGGACTCAAATCAAGGCTGAACCAGTAAGACTCACCAGCGTTACCAGTCATCCGTTCATGCACGAGTATCCAGTTCTGAGTGGGTTGTTGTGGTTGTGCGTTTTGTGCACTCGTCCATTCTCTCTCTCTTTGTGTGTGTGTGTGTTGTACCAGTGTGTCTGCAGGAAAAACAAGTGTCTGCTGCGGGACTCGAGGGGCAGACTATAGGAAAGCACTCGGGTTTGCTCGAGGATCCTTCTGGTTCCGGTAGCGCACGGCGAGCCACACGCCGAGGATCTGAGGTAAGAGATGAGACACGTTAACGAGACGCAGCGTCCATCAGCAGGAGGACAAGAGGACAACGGGGCAAGACAGAAACTCTTAATATAAACATCCACTATGACCATATGAGACATTTTCATGAGGAACAGAGGGAGGGAGGATGGATGGAGCTAAACGCAGCGTCTCTACTCAGCCGTAAGCAGCATCCGGCGTGTTGGGAATCAAACTCACCTCCGAGAAGCTGAAGAAAAGTCCGACGCCCCCGAGGATCTTCAGAGCTTCTGCTGCATGATTCAGCATCTTATCCCCGCAGCTTGGACAGATTCCTTCAGCTTTGCATGGCTGGAGGGAAAAAATACAAACTTTAAATTAGTGTTTCTTACAGGATGGGTCAGATTTTTAATCTGTATTTTTCTCTTATTTATTAATAATTAAATGAAGCAGGTAAAATAAGTATTGTACACATAATTTTTCAAAGAAACTAGATACATAAGTTTGTCACAATAAGCAATTAATTCCATGATAAATTATACTAGATATACCTTGAGCTTTTGTAAATATTGGAATAAATGTTTGCCTCTTACTTTTATTTTTTTCTAAACAGTATGGTCTAGCTGCAGCCCTAATGGATTACTTTAGCTGTTACAAACACCAACAGCACCTTTAGAAATATAAAATTGTACGTATTTTACCTGCAGTATGTAGTAAGTGTAAAAATAAACTGTTTTCTTCTGGACCGCAGAGAATAAAACAAGAGAAATTACATTTCATACTTACAGCGTGGCAGTTTTTCACGTCCTCTTCAAACTGTGAGCGGCTTTTGGAGACGTTCAGCAGGCCGCAGCAGTCCAGTTGGTCCTCCAGGTTTACCTTGGTTTTATTGTTCAACATCCCCCAGGTGGAGTTCAGAAGAACCACCTGGAAATTTAAAAATTAACAGACAGAATCTGTATTTGCCATCAGGGATAAATACCGTTTGTTACCCATTTAAACTCAGACAGGATGTTTGCTAACCTGCTGTCCGCGGTTCATCGCCAAGCAAGAACAGGAAACGCCAAACTGGAAGAGGAAAACGATGAAGAGGATGACCATGTACTGGGGGAAAAAAGTTAAGGAAACGATGCAGAGGCATAAAAATTACTGACCTACGAAGGCCAGTCACAATAACAAATATTAATGCACAATAAACATGTAAAGTTATGTTTATAGGGAGGGGATGTGAAAATTACTGTATGTAAATAACTTAGGATTTTTCATATTTGTAAAGTTGAAACAATCAGATTAATCAATCATTGAAATAACAGTCAACTAATTAAATGATCAATTAATCATTAACAGTAGGTCTGTGATGACAACAAATCTTTCAGGACAATAATTTGTATAAGCAGTTATTGCAATAAAAGATAATATTGTTATTTTGAAACCATTTTCAAGTAATATAATGTGATAATAATTCAAAAACACATTAAAAAGATCAATAACCTTTAAATTCTAACGAACATTTAACATTGGAACTGGAAGACACTTAAATATACAAAATAAACAAAAAAATTAAAACAAAATGAATTATGAAATCTCTGTTAAACTGTACAAAAAAAAGTAGACTTGTGTAGCAACTAGATGTTTTTACTCAGTTACATTTATTTAAGTAACTTTACTATTATTATTTCTAAATAACTATGTTTTGGTCCATCTGATTATGTAATTTTTAAATATTAAAATATGTATATTTTGAACAGTTACTCAGTTCTTGAGTAGAGATTTCACAAAATACTTTTTTAACTCTTACTTGAGTAATTTCTTGGATGGATAAGTTTTACTCGAGTACAATTTTTCAGTATTTTACCCACCTCTGAAAAAAAAGGCTACTTGAGATGAAAACACCAGACTAAACACTTTTGCCATCCAGTTGTTGGTAGAAAGAAACAAAAAAATAAAATAAAATAAATCATACAAATGTAAATGATTGAGCTCGATTTAATTTATCATGCGATTAATTGATTTATCGCTTCTTGCATTTGAGTCCAGAGAAAGGATACAAAGAAAAGCATGACTTGGTGGTGGTGAATGGCTCCGACGAGGCCAACGATGGCGATGAGCAGCAGGAAGACGCCCACCGCTATGACGCCGCCGATGATGTGGATGCTGGACACCAAGCCGAAGCCTTTCCCCCAGACTGCCACTCCGATGAGCAGCAGCCCAACCAGCTAGAGGACAGAAGAGACGTTAACCACGGTCAGCTGAGGAGCACGAGTACGACTGGAGTTCAGATCACGATGTTTCAGAGATCTCACTGCTCACTCAAACAGCTTTTCAGAGACGCCTGTGCACCTTAAAACGTCTCAATTAAAGCTCTAGATATGAGCCTTTTGAATTAAAAATAGAAATAAAACAATGAAATACTGTTTAGCTGAAGTTGAATAAAAAGAAAGTTTAGGAGTGACTCAGTCAGATATGAGCATTGTGACTCAGTCACCAATAACATGCCTGAGTGAAGCACGGGTCTTGATTGCGTCAGGAGTTTTTAGGGAACACATGCTCAAATGGGACATCCAGCTCCGTACGTACTGCTAAAACCTGCTGTACATACGCAGTTTTTAAAGAGTTATGAAGTATTTTCAGGTAACTTCACTACAATTTGTAATATTTAAATGTTTTACTAGGCCTGTCACAATAATTATTTTTGCTGGACAATAAATTGCCCCAGTAATTATTGCAATACATGATAATATTGTTGTTCTGAGATCAACAATCTTTAATTTTGTAGAGAACACTTAACACTGGAACTAAATTTATCTTGAATAACCAAAATACAACAAAACATCCAAAAGCAATAAATAAAACAGCAATAAAAACAACAAATAACAGAAATTATAAATAGAATTGATTGTGATTTGTCTAAACAAAATTGCCCTTAAGAAAAACTAAAATGGAATTATCTAGCTCATTTGAATTCATGTGATTAATTGATTAAGGTCACTGATCTTAAAGGGTTCAGGAACAGACAAAAATAAGTTTCACATTTTCTGTTTGTGCAAATTATTTTGGCCTGGAAGCAAATTTTAAACATTACATGAGATAGCATGTTTTTATAATGATAGTAATTATATTCAAGCTTTCCAAATTTGTCGGTGACAGTTTGCTTTTTATAAACGTTAAAATAGATAAGCTATAAATCACAACATTCTCAAATGTAATCACAGCCAAGCAGTGGGATTCAGACTGAGTGAAAGTGAGTGAATTTGGTATTTTAAATGCTTAATAACTTACTAATTATTTATGAGATGTAGTTATACTTTTGCAACACTTTTTCAAGAACATCTACAACAAAAACCAACTGATTTGACTCATCTACACAAGCTTTTCTGTTTGTCATAAACAGAGATTCTAAAAAGAAATTATAGATATAGATACTTTTTTAGATTTCTTTAATGTTAATTAAGTTAGATAGCAGCTGCAGATGTTTGAATGTTTGAAAGTAAATGTTCTAATGTGACCTAGATATGTGTTCTAGTTTGCTTTAAAGGGTTTTTCAAATTCAATTAAAAAATACTGCATTGATCCCAAAAGTTAATTAAATAAAACATAAAGCAGTTCCTAAGCAAATTTCATATTTAGGGAGACAAAACTATAAAATTACAGCTTTTAAGTTCAATAAAATGACAATTATATGTCAGTATCACAATTAAAAACATTCTAATCAATACAAAACGCAATATATTAATCATCATACCATATTCTTCAATAACAAAAATGGAATTCAGGCTGAATCTAGAACTGTAACAAGATAAACTATTTTCTTATACCACCAAATGTAGTTCATGGATTGGAGATTGTTTGTTGGACGCATCATGACTACAAAACCTTTTCAAAGTAAACAGAGATATAAATCACCTGAAAATGGCCAGATTTAAAAAGCTGCTGATGTCAAAGGTTTCATGCATGTCACCGGTGTCACTTCACGTTTCCTTCGAGATTAAATCTGGGTGAGTCTGTTATGACGTAGGCAGATTAAATCAAATTTAGACCATCCTGTGTGACTGAAACCACAAAGATAACCAATTTAAACACGCCAGTCGCTCAGCTGATGGCCTCGCAGCTTAGGGTAGCGCTGGTTTGCATAACGGCTACTGCTAATATGCTAATGTTAGCCTCTACTCTACGTTTCTATCCAGAAGCAAAAGCTATACACAAACTGGGAGTTTCAATAAATGAGCAAAATACATACCATTCACTTATGAACAAGAACCAGAGCGCATGTGAAATAAAACGTTTGCATAATCAGAACTTTCTTGAACGCTGTGAGCTAAAATAGCTACCTAGCTTGCTTGCTAACTGGTTAGCTTTTGGTCAGCATTACGCCACTTCATTCAGCGGCTGCCGCGTAATATCAAATCGAAACTTATCATCTGTGTCAACACTCACCATGTAAACAACATTCAGGGAGCAGAGGGCGTTTTTCGAACAGGTGAAACCGCCACAAACCATATTAGAAAACGCTACAGCCTTCAGACGAGATGAACAATAATGTCTGCTATGCGGCTCTGAGCTACGCAGACGTCTTCTGGACTCAAACAGCGGAGAGGGCGTGGCTGATTGCGTCAAACTGACGTCTGACGTCAGATTCTGACGTCCCCCCAAAACCCGTTTCTGTTTTTTTAAACATCCTTCCGTGAGGTTTCGTTGGAGTGGATGTATCGCTATAATCGAAAAGGTTTATCTAAGTTCCTCAACCTGACATTAACTGACCTTTTCTACACGCAACGCCGTTTTTCTTTCTGTTTTTTAAGTCAGGTTTTTAATTTCGACACGTTCTGAAACTCTGTGGGTTTATTTTTACTGCTTACTGATGGAAATCACACGGTATACCAAAGTGTTGGTGTTATTGTTAAATTATCGGGTTAACCCTACATATAAATAGTGACGTTTTAAGTGTTTATTTATTTATTGTATCTGTATTTTTTAATTGTTTTGTTTGTTTTTACCTTCTGCCAGTTTTTTATCAGACTTAAAGCAGACTTTTAGATTTGAACCCATAAAATAAGTATAACAATTTGGGCAGAATGTAATCCATATATCTGTGTTGAAGTTCAATTCAATTCAAAAATACTTTATTCATCCTAAATGTAACCTAAATTTTGTCCCAGGATGTTGTGCACTGCTGCAGCAGTCAGTCTCACAACGTATTTAAAGAAGCCTCTGAGGAAAGAATGTTGCCGTATGAGTCTTATTCATGTCATGAGATGTTCGCAGCTCAGTTTCTGGGCAGAAGAGATGATATTCCAAATGTTATTGTAGAATATTGATTTATGACGACATTTAATTTCTCTTGAAGTTAAATTAAGGAATTAAGGTTTCTTTTATTAATTCTAGTCCTGAACATTATATTTGCCAACCAAAATTCTTTATTAAGCTATTAAATCATTTTAATGGCCTCAATAATTAATTTTTTACGATGAAACAATCCGGTCTCAAGAGACCTGCATAAACAAATATCAACAGTATGCTGAAGCTATATTTTAAAAACAATAATAGGAGAGACTGATGAGGTCATAAGGTCATCAAGTGTGCTTCAGTTTTAATGTTTTTGCAGATGGTTTCACATTTTGGTATATGGTTGGATTCATGTTAGATCCTGTTATTATAACAAGGCCTTTGTCAGCAAAACATCCTCAAACCATGATACCTCCACCTCTATTCTTCAGATTTGGAAAGACGAGAATGTTGGTTGTTGTTTATGTAAAACTGATTTGTTCTAAAATAACTCAGTCTATGTTCTCTCTAAAAAGACATTTGCCAAGTTAAATTTATGCTGTCTCTTTCAGAGCGATTTTAGTTGTCACATTCTGAATTTTCTACTTTCTCTTTTGGTAAACTTCAGTTGCAGACTCACTACATTTTCAGGGTTGACGTGCAGAGGAGAGCACAGTTTGAAACAGGGAAGTGATTTCAGTTGGGCTCAAACCTGCAGAGGAAGCTGAACACGTTGCCATGATGTGACTTTTGTGGTTTAGAAAGAGAGAGAAAGCGTGAGAGAGCGACACCCTGAGTTGACTTCACATCGTCTTCTGGTGCTTCTTCGTCTCAAGCTCGAGTTCTTCATGTGGAACCAGCAGCCGGGAGTTCAAATGGGCTGAAGCATCTCGCTGCTTCGGTTCACGACTTATCTGTGCGTGAGGATGACCAGCAACGTTAAATCAGCTTCCTCCTCCGCGATAAAAGCGGAGATCAAGAGGTATGACTCCCTCCAGAGTGCAATCAACAGACTCTTCAAGCAGTTTGAGAGAGTGGAGAACCAAACTCTGCGCTCGGGCCTTAAAGTTTACCTCCACAGCATTCAAGGTGAGCTAACCTTTAATTAGCATTATGAATCACTTTTAATTATCTCAGTCTGCATGAGGAACACAAAAAGCTGTTCGAACTTCATGAAAGTTTTTATTTGACATAATAACCAGGAAAAAACGGCATGCATACATCAGCTTCATTACTCTTTTAATCAGCCTTCTTGGTGTGGTGCAAGGAAATAAGACTGTGTGGGTGATTGATATCTTCCTTTCAGCTTCCTGTCACCGTCTGTGTGACTCAGTGTGTTTTCCTGAGGCTAAGGTGTTCGGGTTTATTCTCAGTCCTCTCTGATCGTGAAAATAAATCGCCTCTTGGTACCTATTTTGCATCGGCATTAAGCATCAGTCGGCCTCTGGACATAGGGAGACTAAATGGCAACATCCTTTAGCAGCCATCGCCATAGTAGCGAGATGAAACCTGCTGTGTGGCCTACTTCCTGTCTGCCAATCTGCAACTGCCCTCAAAGCCACTTCCTCTCATACAAGCAGGGCTTTTACTTGAAGCTGATCAGTTTTACATCACATCCTTGCATTGCTACTTCCTATATTCTTGTTAAAGTGACAAATGTGACACAGATAGATTCTTTAGAAATGAACGTCACATTTTCTTTTTCCATTTGTTTGCAGAGGTATCGCGTGTTTGACCTTCAGAGGAGGGAAGTTCTCAAATTGGACGGCTAAAAATTATAAACGCTTATTGGAAAGCTGAAAAAAAATTTACTTCCAGTATTTGTCTGTGATCTCATCAATGAAGTTTGATTTTGCTGCAAGATGCATTATAACCTCTACATTTATTTGTAGCTTAAGTTAGCAGCAACTTTTAATTCTTTAGAAATGAACTGCAAGCAGGCAAAATCAAGTTAGCTTGTGAACAAAAATCCTTTAGGAATACATATTTTCATTTAATTTAAATAGTGTCACTGCAGGATTTTCTGGCTGAACTTTATATTTATGCTACAGATTTAATCTTTTGTACCACCTTAGAGTTCATAAGAATTTCTTATGTTTTGTGTGTTTTTTTGTGCCAAAATTAACCATTTTAGATGCAAAGTGCAGTTTTCAAATGCAGAATTTATACCTCACCTTTTTTGCAGAACTGTTTTGCTTTATCAACATTGGAGGGTTTTTTGGATGAACGGTCAAGTTCATTCAAAAGCAGACACAAAATCTAAACTTTGACTTGCCTCAAATGCCTCAATTATCTTTATTGTTTTAGCCATTTAAAGAAGGAATTTGAATGACTGGTAAGATTGTGTTATATTTTTAGTTATTTTTAGTCCACATATCTTAACAAAACTAATTTACAAGTAACTTTAGAGAAAGATATAGCAGTTTGTTTTAAGACAATAGTTCCCTGATATTGGTGAAAACAAATTAGTTCCACTGGCAGACTATTTAACTAAATAACAAGACATGCTTACAATGTTATAAGTGAAACAGTCTGCCAATATTAACCAATATTGAATCAATATTAGGGAATTATTGACTTAAAAGAAGCTCCAACAGCTTGATAAAAAATTACTTGTAAGTTAGTTTGATATCTCATCCGTCCACAAATGTTTTACTAGAAATCAAGATGTTTCTTGGCAAACAAGAAGTGAACATTTATGACCTTTTATGGTTGTTTTGCATACTCTTCTTTTGGAGTAATTTTCTGTAAGTAATAGCGGTGAAGGTTCACTGCTTGTCCTGTTGTCTCTGTGGATATTGGTTGTGTGGGTATGGATAGTGAAATTCATCCATCCGTCCACTTTCTGTACAGCCTTGTCCCTTAGTGGGGTCAGGAGGTGCTGGTGCCTCTCCAGCTAATGTTTCGGCCGAGATGCGGGGTCCCCCTGGACAGGTCGCCAGTCTGGGCAACACAAAGACAGACAGGACTAACAACCATGCACACTCACACCTAGGGAGAATTTAGAGAGACCAATTAACCTGACAGTCCTGTTTCTGGACTGTGGGAGGAAGCCGGAGTACCCGGAGAAAACCCACGCATGCACAGGGAGAACATGCAAACTCCATGCAGAAAGACCGGGGCCGGGAATCGAACCCAGGACCTTTTTACTGCAAGTGAAATTCAGCTTTCCCAAAAAACAAATAATAGTTCCCAGATAGCACATGATGTTAAATCAACGTTGAAAAATAGTTAGAATCGTTGATTTTTGGTTGAAGTCGACAAAGGA